AGAGAGAGAGAGAGAGAGAGAGAGAGAGAGAGAGAGAGAGAGAGAGAGAGAGAGAGAGAGAGAGATGCATAATACTATGTTTCACTCACACACATGTCCATTAATTTTTAAAGTGTGATATTCTTTATTAATGTAACTGCGCATTGGGAGTCATTTAGAAACTGTAAATGCGCAGCTTAAATGCTATTTATTATTCTGTATTATCAACAAAGTATAAACCGATCTGACGAAACCCAACAAAACCCGATTTTACAGGACGATCTTTACAGTGGGACTAACCCTAAACCGGCCGGTGACGTCAGAGATGGAGTCAAATATCGAAGACAAAACGAACATCAAAAGTATCCGAGTCGACGGTGTCGAGTATTCGGTTGAAGATATCCGGATTCTCCGAGACCGATCCTCCGATTCCTCGGATTCGGTTTTTCCCGTTGTCGCTGTAGCTGTGGGCTGCGGGGGCGGCCTCGCTCTGATCCTTGTGTGTGTGCTCATCTGTGTGGTCTGCCGGAAGCGACGTCATGAGAGCGGTGGTCAGGAAACGATCAAGTCTTTGACGGCGGGTGTGCAGATCTTCACAAAGGATATCTTCGCTTACAAGCACGGTACGGGCTCTTATTTATTGGAGGGTGGGAGGGTTTGTTTTCTTTTTGGGGTTTTGTATAATTAATTTTCAAAATTAATTGCCATATTAAACATCGTGGGTGGTTGGAGGGTTCTCTGGTGTGGTTTGCTTCTTCTTTCCTATCAAACATCTATTGTCTTTATCTCCCCTCCTTGTATTTTGTGTTTTCTACTCCCTTATAACACCAGAAGATACTTTTATGACCTAATTGTGCTGCCTCGAGTGCCGTAAAACTCTTACTGTAACTAATCATCTATTGTCTGTTTCTTGTCTCCTTCTTTTTTGTGTTTGCTACTCTCTTGTAAAACCTCTAACCTTCGACACTTACATAATCTAACTGTTTTGCAAGTGCCGTAAAACTCTTACTAAAACTAAACTATCACGTTCCCACAAGCACTGTGCTGTTGTCATTTTTAAGAATACAGTACATTATGTAGTTCCATATGACAATTTCACAGGAGGGCCAAAAACCTGAATGTTGTTTAAAAAAAACAAAAAACATTCGCTTTAATAATAAGGAAGTTATTATCAAAATTGTATTCTTATAAATTGACTTGCGGTGTTTGATAAGAGTTTGCTTTCTTGGTAACAATATTATTCAGTTGTTGTTTGTTTATTTGTTTTGTTGTTGTTTTTTGTTTGTTTTCCTGTAAAATTGTAAAAACTGATTTGTGGGTGGTTGGCGGGGGCTCTGGTGTGGTTTGCTCCTTCTTTCCTATCAACCATCTATCATACTGATATCTTCTCTTTCTTTTTTGAGTTTGCTACTCTCTTGTAAAACCTCTAATCTTCGACACTTACATAATCTAATTGTTTTGCAAGTGCCGTAAAACTCTTACTAAAGCTAAACTATCACGTTCCCACAAGCACTGTGCTGTTGTCATTTTTAAAGATACAGTATAATTGTTACGTAGTTTTTACAATTTCACTGGGGTGGGGGACCCCCCGCCCCATCTCCGGGAACGTTGTTACAAAAACAACAACAACCACCCTATAATGTATTGCTTTAAAGATCATAAGAGAGTTATTATAAAAACGGTATTCTTTAAAATATTAACTTGGGATGTTTCAGTTGTTGTTGTTGCTTGTGTTTGGCTTTGTTTTGTTTTGGGTTTTTTTCCTGTAAAATTGTTTAAAAAAAAAAAAAAAAAAAATCCTGCATAGATCTATCGTCCACATGTACTTTGAAAATGACACCAGTGTGTGTTTGTTTGTGCATGTGTTTGTTTGTTTGTATCCCAGCAGAGAAGGAGTATGACGATGACCCGGCTACTTGCTATGTGGATATAGACAGCATGCGTGCTAGCCGACTCTCCAGTAGGTGGTGGCAGTTTACGGTTTTCTGGGGGGGG